CACCATGTGATCCCTGGCACACTGTACAATAACTATTTTGCATTAGTTCAAAATATCACTATTCGAGTATTCGAATAAACCGAGAAGAAGATAAACACGAAAAGAGCAAATACGAACGAGGAGCAAACGAGGCCGCAAATCAGCTGATTAAAGGCCGTGGTACGGGAGACAGGGTCTTGGGCAGGACCAGCTATGCGGAAACGCGAGTTCTCTTGAACTGTTTCTGAAGTGCTCGCGATGGGGATTTTCTTGGGAACACTCCCGAGCTGCGCGAACAACCCTTTCCTGTGTAGCCGTTTCAGGTGATCGTGTTCGTAACAGGAACGCATGAAAAACCTTGTCCTGTGGTGGAGCAGGAGCAGAATATGGTTTGTTTTAGGCGCCAGGTTATGCTAACTTTGGATGCGCTGCGCATTGAGGTCGCGCGTCAGAAGTGATGGGATGGTTGATATGTTTGAGGCGTAATGTCTGTCCACGCGAAGCAAATGTGTGCCATTAGGATCCAGGGAGGTCCATGGCGAACCTTTGGACTTGTGTTACAGTGTTTTCCTTTTGCGTATGAATGGAGGGCGTGTCGCTGTGCGACGGCCGCCAGATTCGGGCTCCGCAATTGCTAGAGTATCCGATGAAGGAGACCAACTGCTGGAAAAAGTCTGATACGAGCGATATGGTAGTCCTGTTCGTTTGTCCGAAAAGAACAGGTTGACTCAGGCGCCAAGCGCGATCGTGGGCACGCCCCGTCATCCGCAGGCGAACCAGAGTATGAGTTGTACTGTTAGTCACTTACGAGAGATGTGCGACTTTTTCATATTTCCAGTTATTTCAGATTAGTTTGATGAATGAAAGTTTTGTACTATTCTTTTTACATATCCCGAGTTCTCTATAAGGCAAGCTTCGCTGTAACAGTACTCAGCCACTGACGCTCGTTACTGGCTACTGCAGCTCATTACGACCCCTCCTCCTGGCGGCCATTACGACCCCCTGTTGGGATTCTCCAACCAACAATGTGCCCTGCATAGTAATCCCTTTTTCAATAAATATAGGGAGCATGATCGCTTTCTTCTTAGGAAGCTTACTTTTATGGTTTAGTAGAGCTTGTATTCGCTCCTAGTTACTCACGAATTTAATGTTGTTGGCCGGGGGTGGGCCAAATATAAGCAATCAAATGGATAATGAACTCAAGATTGCAAAATGGAAAACAGAATAGATAAAATGGAATTTTTATTAATACCTCTGGGTTTTTTTCCGGCCGTCACCAGAAACGTGAGCGGTAGTCGTTGTAGGTAATATATTTATTGAGGCGGGGTGGCCTCGGTGATAGTGGTGGGTCCGAAGGCAGGGTGGTTCTCGGACCGTCAGGTAGTAGAATGCTCACTTAATCTAGGCGCGCCTCTCAAGTACAGGAGAGGTCAGCGCATCGAGATATCTAACCATTTACCTACGGGTCAAATCACATATCTGAAGTTTGCCTAATGACTTATACATAAAATCAGTAAGTCATAAAAGGGTGCACCGGTAGGTTCTGGTGGCAATCCAGAACACCGCTATTTTAGCTGAAGAGTTCCGTCCCATTTGCCAACACAATGCACTTTTATTTCGAATTCAATTCCGTTGTGTTGCCACAACGCTTATGGCCTCCCAAGAGCAGTTGTAAGAGTACCGCGTCTCATGCTAGCAAGAATGTTCCTTGATGAGTAGCCAAGACCCTTCCTGTCTCTCACTATACGTTGAGTTTACAACCCTGACACTGGATTTCATATATTACTCCCACTGCGCACAGTCACCAGTTTTCCTGCGTGGGCAAGTAATACAATTTTCTGATATGCACTGCTTGTCGTAGAGGTCCTGTTACGGGACCAGCTGCTGCGCTCTTACTATGCTCCGTTTGATTGCACCTTATCAGAAATAAAGGGGGGACACAACAAACGTATATATCTAGTTTCGACGCGGTACGCCTTGTGGGTCAATAATGCACCTCTCTCGAAGTGGGTGTGCGTATAGGCCATTCCGGCTATTTCTGTAGTATTGAACACTTACTACCCACAGAAAGTACTATGCGATGGTATAGAGTCAATCTCAAAACTTCTGAATTCTTCAATGCGAAATTTGAGTTGACAAAAAACATGCCCTATTAAACTCTCACTACCCAACTTCCGAAAGCAGGCCACTTTTTTTACTGAGTTTTTTAGGGTAGATTTGGCTGAAAGAGTCGGTTCTATGGTAGCTCGACCTCTTTGAACTCGAATTTGTGACGCTGGCCGCCATCGCCACGTCTCTCAACCAAAATCAGTCTAACAAACATGCCCTACCGGATTCATTCGTAACCTCATCACGAACATGACATTCATTTTTAGCCCTGGCGCCATTATCTGCCAATTTGGTGCCACACCTTTTTTCATCGGGATCGATAAGTACTTGCATATTAGGGTTGTTCGATGCCGTGTATGACATTCATTATTTGATTGAGCCCTCTGCTAATGCTGAGCCTGAGAGAGGGGTGATTACCTCGAGCCAAGCTCAAGGTAATCACTCCTCCTCCCAGGCTCTTTCCGGCCAAGCAGATGTGGTATTCGAGTTCAAGAGGTCGAGCTACCCATAGAACCGACTTTTCAGCCAAATCTACCCTAAAAAACTCAGTAAAAAAGTGGCCTGCTTTCGGAAGTTTGGGGTAGTGAGAGTTTAATAGGGCCATGTTTTTTGTCAACTCAAATTTTCGCATTGAAGATTAGAAGTTTTGAGATTGACTTCTATACCATCCGATAGTACTTTCTGTGGGTAGTAAGTGTTCCAATACTACAGAAATAGCCGGAATGGCTATACGACACCCCACTTCGAGAAGGTGGCATATTGACCCACAAGGCGTACCGCGTCGAAACTAGATATATACGTTTGTGTATCCCCCTTTATTTCTGATAAGGTGAGCGCTGCAATCAAACGGAGCATAGTAAGAGCACAACTGCAGGACGATGTCCAGTTGGTAAACATACCGAGTGGAAACATCAAGCAACAGCTGGTCCGTAACAGGCTCTACGACAAGCAGTGCATATCAGAAAATTGTATTACTTGCCCACGCAGGAAAACTGGTGACTGTGCGCAGTTGGGAGTAATATATGAAATCCAGTGTCAGGGTGTAACTCAACGTATATTGGAGAGACAGGAAGGGTCTTGGCTACTCATCAAGGAACATCTTGCTAGCATGAGACGCGGTATTCTTACAACTGCTCTTGGGAGGCATAAGGTTGTGGAACACAACGGAATTGAATTCGAAATAAAGTGCATTTTGTTGGCAAAGGGACGGAACTTCCAGCTAAAATAGCGATGGTGTTCTGGATTGCCACCAGAACCTACCGGTGCACCCTTTTATGACTTACTGATTGTTATGTATAAGTCATAGGCAAACTTCAGATATGTGATTATGACCCGTAGGTAAATGGTTAGATACTCGATGCGTGACCTCTCCTGTATTGAGAGGCGCGCCTAGATTAAGTGAGCATTCTACTACCTGACGGTCCGAGACCACCCTGCCTCGGACCCACCACTATCACCGAGGCCACCCCGCCTCAATAAATATATTACTACAACGACTACCGTCACGTTTTCTGGTGACGGCCGGAAAAAACCCAGAGGTATTAATAAAAATTCCATTTTATTATTCTATTTTCCTTTTGCAATCTTGAGTTCATTATTCCATTTGATTGCTTATATTGGCCCACCCCGGCCAACAACATTAATTCGTGAGCAACTAGGAGCGAATACAAGCTCTACTAAACCATAAAAGTAAGCTTCATAAGAAGAAGCGATCATGTCCCTATATTTATTGAAAAAGGGGATTACTATGCAGGGCACATCGTTGGTTGGAGAATCCCCAGCAGGGGGGGGCTTCGTATTTGGCCGCCAGGAGGGGGTCGTATTGAGTGCAGTAGCCAGTAACGAGCGTCAGTGTGCTTACTCTAGCGAAGCTTGCTTTATAGAGAACTCGGATATGTAAGAAGAATAGTACAAAACTTTCATTCATCAAACTAATCTGAAATAACTGGAAATATGAAAAGTCGACATCATCTCGTAAGTGACTAAACAGTACAACTAATACTCTGGTTCGCTGCGGATGACGGGGCGTGCCCACGATCGCGCTTGGCGCTGAGCCAACCTGTTCTTTTCGACAAACGACAGGACTACCATATCGTTCGTATCAGACTTTTTCCAGCAGTTGGTCTCCTTCATCGGAATCAGCAATTGGCGGAGCCCGAATCTGGCGGCGTCGACAGCGACACGCTCCATCATACGCAAAGGAAAACACTGTAAACAAGTGCAAAGGTTCGCCATGGACCTCCCTGGATCCTATGGACACATTTGCTCGCGTGGACAGACATTACGCTCAAACATATCACCATCCCATCACTTCTGCGCGGACCTCAATGCGCAGCGCATCCAAAGTTAGCATAACTGGCGCTAAACAAACCATATTCTGCTCCTGCTCCACCACAGGACACGTTTTTCATGCGTTCCTGGTTATTCGAACACGATCACCTGAAACGGTACACAGGAAAGGGGTTTTTCGCGCAGCTGGGAGTGTTCCCCAAGAAATCCCCATCGCGAGCACTTCAGAAACAGTTCAAGAGAACTCGCGTTCCACATAGCTGGTCCTGCCCAGAATCCCTTCTCCCGGTACCACGGCCTTTAATCAGCTGATTGCGGCTCGTTTGCTCTCGTTCGTATTTGCTCTTTCGTGTTTATCTTCTTCTCGGTTTATTCGAATATCGAATAGTGATATTTTGAACTATTGCAAAATAGTTATTGTACAGTGTGCCAGGGATCACATGGTGTCCCAATGCACCATGGGACCACGCTATTTCGCAAGGGCGTGGTCCTGGGTCATATGGCATGTGGTCCCTGGTAGCCTGGGATGGTCATTTCAGGCTATTGCGTTGACCTAGCGGTGTGTTCCCGCTCCTCGCCTGTTCTGCATCGGATATTCGCCTCAACAACTTAACTCGTCAGATATGCATACCGACAGAGATTTTCCTATTCAAGAAAAGGAAATGGAGCAGCCACTACCCTATCAACCGCCAGAACAGCAAATATTCGAAGAAGAACTATTGGCACCGGTCATTCGTCTGGACCCTAGAGATATACAATCGACAATTCAAGCAGTTAAATCGAATCACCGACAACGTCTCAAGCACCTACGACGCACACTTTCAAGCGAGAAGTATTCGGACGCCAGTATGACTTTAATAATACCACCATTAGAAAGTTATCTTCGCTGCAGATTGTCCAAGAATGTAGTGATGTCGTCAAGGATGTGATCCAGGACCTAGCTGTGAGAAATGAAACACTCATAATCGCGGATTCTCACCCGCAAATCTTCCAGTTTCTTGATAGCAAGAACAAGTCGGATTCCCTCAAGTCTATACCCCCGTCTTAGTGAGTTTGTGGAGTCTATCAGGAAGAAAGAGCAAGAGAGCAGCAGGGGAAAGTCTTCATCGCCGCAGCCCTTTCGTGGCAAGGAAGCAGCATGGCGCCCTGCTTCCATCGCCCGTCGCCCGCCAACTTCATACTTGGGCAGGCCATATGCGGATCGCAGGCCCTATTCTTATGCAGGGCGTGACATCCCTCCCACGCGCTCGACAAGGGATTTCCGTAATTTCTAAAAGAGGAGGAAAATAGATGAAAGTCGACCTGTAACCGTTGCGGAAGAGAAGGCCACTGGGCCAAAGAATGCCTGCAAAACCACTAGTGAGTTCTTAGCTGGTTCGATTCATTGTTTTCTCTCAGAGTGGTTGGCTCTCGAGCCCTCGAAGCTGGTCTCGACCAAGTGCTTAACGGGTACTCGCCCTTATATTCAGACCCGTCAAAACCAGTGCATTCGGGCAACAGAAAGTCAGCTGTCATGCACAAAGACTTTGTAAATAAAGAAATTAAGAGCTTCTCTCAACCGGAGCTATTCAAGAAGTTTCCATCAGTCCCTGCAACTCTCTTCACGTTCACCCTCTATCAGTGGCAAAAGGTGAAAAGCTTACATTGGTATTAGACTTATCTCACTTGAATAAGTTTTTACATGTGCCAAAAATCAAGCTGGATGATATCAGTGGCATTCTCAATGCTTTGCCGGAGGGAGGTTTTATGGCCACTTTTGATCTCAAAGCTGGACATCATCATGTAAAAACTTATTCAAGTGAGATAAGTCTAATACCAATCTAAGCTTCTCACCTTTTGCCACTGATAGAGGGTGAACATGAAAAGAGTTGCAGGCACTGATGGAAACTTCTTGAATAGCTCCGGTTGAGAGAAGCTCTGTAGTTGCTTTATTTACAAAGTCTTTGTGCATGACGCTGGATGGTATTATATTTGAAAGATCGAGAACAGCCTGTGCAGAAACAGCGTCTAATATCAGGTCCGACCTCGAGCGGGCAGGATGGTTCTTCGCCGAAGACAAGTGTAAATGGGACCCCTCGCAAACGTGCACTTGGTTAGGTTTTAATATTGATTTATCTTCTATGTCCATATCAGTAGCACCAGAGAGATTAGCCACGGCAGTGCACCGACTCGAAGTTATCCCAAGCCATCACTGCCATCATCTCTCCAAGCCATCACTGCATGAAAGATTACGTTGGGCTGGAACGCTGTCTTCTTTGCACACTGTTTTGAACATAATAGATAAACGCAATACGAGGGCAGTATCTCGTGTGATAGCGGCAGCGCAAGCTCAAGATTGGCCGCTGTCCAAGGCATGGCCCAAACTAGCGAAGAGCACCTCGAGCTACGCTACTGGACAAATAGGTTACGACAAGGTCCCCAAGTATCTCTGATACCTCAGGTTAATTACAGTACCGTATTTCATATAATAGATGTCGATGCGTCAGACCACCCAGTAGGAGCTTTCCTGCGTGATAGCAATGGTACAACATTGGCGCGCACATTTAGAGAACTTCCGCATTATCTCCTAGGGGAGTCCAGCACACCCAGGGAACTATTTGCCATACATTTTGCTTTGGACACTTACAAAGAATGTATTGATCGTGTGTTGATTAACACGGACAGCCAAAGTTCGGTGACCATTTACAATAAGGGAAGTTAGGGTTGCACCTGCATCAGCTGGCACAGAACATTTGGGATTTAGAAAGACATCACGGTTTCCACTTTTTAGTTAGATGGGTTCCCAGATCAGAAAATGAAGAGGCAGACTGTGCTAGCCGCCAGATAGATTTTGATGACTGGAAAATAGCGGACCGTGTTTTCACGGCCGTCACTTCAAAATGGGGAAAGCCCTTAATTGATATGTTCGCCAACGACAGGAATACACGATGCAGTATATTCTTTTCCAGATTTCACTGTCCAGGATCCTCAGGGAGTCTCATTCTGAACCGTGGAAAAGTGGATTTCTATGGTTAGTTCCGCCAGTCAGTATGATCACAAAAACGCTCAAATGGGCCAAAATGCATGGATCTTAAGGCATCTTGGGGTGCCCGCTTTGGGAATCACAGCCTTTTTACCCAATCATCAAAAATGGTGATGCCCAGTGGGCCGGATTCGTTTTGGACAGCGTATGCTTCCCTGTAGGTACAAAATTGTTCAAAAATCCACAATTACCGGGTGCGTTCGGGTCCGAGTTTTCGTTATCGCCTTTCGTGTTTCTGTTTATCGATTTCACGCAGGGCGCCTATTCCGGCACGTTGAGGCTGGTCCCCCGGCTTTGCATTTCCCTGTTGTGTTTGAACAATAGTTCAAAATGGTATTTATACCAGAAAGTATCGGAGGTATAAGTGATATTTTGAACTATTGCGAAATAGTTACAGTGTGCCAGGGATCACATGGTGTCCCAATGCACCATGAGACCACCCTACTTCGCAAGGGCGTGGTCCTGGGTCATATAGCATGTGATCCCTGGTAGCCTGGGATGGTCATTCCAGGCTATTGCGTTCACCGTGAGCGGTGTGCTCACTCGCCCACCCCTTTTTCTTCCAAATCAAAAATTTTTCTTCGGAGCCCGGCGTTTCAACGAAGCTGCTTCTCTGAGGGTGAGAGCAGAACAAATGGGAATGCCTCATATCAGTGAAGCCATATTAAATGCTATCAATTCTGACAGAGCTCCTTCCACGATCAAAGCTTACACGTCTGAAGTGGAAACAAAAAGTGGAAAAGTAGCCCATACATGCGCAGCATTCCTATGCCTCAAGCCAGGAACCTTTTCCTGGCGAAATGCTCGGCGGAAGGCAGGCTAAGTTCCATGCCGACCGTCGTAGCAGCGCTCAACTACTTCTGTGGGCCGCTCACAGGTGTAGACAAAGAAATCCAGGACTCCCTTCTTCAAGCGGTTAGGCGCCATTCACCCCCGCGTCAGCATCGTACTAAGCCCAGTCACATGGCACGGTTATTAGGGGTAGGTATCTTTACCAAGGACCCCAAAGTTACTCAAGCCGCTGCTTTGGCACTCGTTCAGTTCAAAGGGCTACTCAGGATCAGCGAGGCTTAAAATTTGCGCAGGTCCCAGGTTAAGACCAATGGCAATGGGGAATGGCTTGTGCATATAAGCAGATCCAGGACGGACCAGTGCTCTAAGGGTGCAGTGTTAGCTTTTCGCTTTAATGCAATGGAGGAAGCGCTCTGGAATAAGTACACTGCTACCTTGGGTGGGGCGTCTTTTCTCTTTCAGTCCGGCTCCACGGGGTTGCCTTTGGCCATCTCAACCTTGCGGGACAGGCTCATGCTCCTCATTAACAAGCCAATCTTGGACATGCTAATATAACATCTCACTCTTTCAGGTGGGAGCGGGGGGCTGCCACACAAAGCGCTCACTATGGAGCTCATCAAAATGATGTCATGCAAGCTGGGCGCTGGAGAACGCTGGGAGGGTTCCAAAAACTATGTAGCACCCAAACCTCTCCCATCTTCTCTTCCTCCCGCTTTTAACTAGTATGGTCACTTTGTATGTTCCTAGTTCCTTAATTTCCTGTTCATTATGCCTTAACACTATAGACTAGGACATCTCTTGTGTTGTTAACATCTCATATTCGTCACATTTTTCCGGGCCTGGCCTCAAATATCATCACCTACCACCCTCTCACTTCCAGGTGAATAGTCCCCCTATATAATTGCTCTTCGTACATTACTCCCTCTTCTGTATACATAATCATTATATGAAATCATATGGACATTGGTTCGCACATCAATGTGGATCTCATTATTGGCATCATCACGCACAAATGTACATAAATTATACATGGTAAGACGTACATAATAATACACAGTGTAAGATACTTGTAATTGTTATCTGATGTAGACATTATTTCACTCATGAAAATAAGCTTCAATTGTCATAATAGTCATACAGTACAGACAATGACTAATTCCTTTCATGTCGAGCATGTAAGATGTACATAAGCTGCTCATATGTATCTACAGTGTATTACCGCTCATATACGGCACACGCAATAAACCTTAACACCAACCGCTGTTGGTGTTTGAACAATAGTTCAAAATGGTATTTATACCAGAGAGTATCGCAGGTATAATTGATCTTCTTCTCGGTTTACTCGAATATCGAATATTTATCTTCTTATCAGTTTACTCGAATACGCATCAGAACGCGCCCCAGCAATTTCGCTTGGACCGCTCAGAGTGCTTTTAGGAGAAGTTGGCTTAACTTCCTATTTTTCTTTCTTTAAATTGCCATTGATTCATGTACCAGAGTTTGTTTTGACTCGAGGAAAGGTGGGTGAAACCTAATGGTCTTTCTTTTCTATTCTCTTTTCTGAATCAGGATAGAAATGAGCAAAAGGCGAGGGGGCCTTGTTCAGGATTGTCACTTTTTCTATTTTTCCCGCATACTTACCACGACTCCCCCCCCCCTTATACATGAACTTATAAAGTTTCTTTCTCCTCGGGGGGAGAGGAGGGGGAAGAAACTTCATAAGTTTATGTATAAGGGGGGTCGTACCGAACCTCCAAAAAGGGGGGTCGTACGGGCTCGACGAAAATCCCCAACTAATGCTGTGCCCTGTTACTATGTGCTCAGAAATGGTGATAGAAAACCTGGAGTGCTATGAGGCATTTAGCCAAAGTATATCATATCCAGAAGACCACGAAGAAAGGTTAGATAAGCTATTTGCGAACCTGAAGTGGTTCAACTTTCACCTAGTTTACATTAGAAGTGCGAGCGAAGAGCTCGCTAAAAAAGTCAGCTCCTTGGAAAGAATATTCCTAACATTAGAAACACGGGGAGAACGTAAAGAGTTCATAGACGAAGTTGAGGAGCTTGAAAAGGAGTCAAAATACTCCAGTTCTCTGGAAGTATCGTTCACGGCGATCTGCGAGATCGAATACCAAATAGTGGAGACAAAGTTCGCAATAAGAACCCCACCAGCTATTGCCAAAATACTTGGACCCTACCTTGTTCACCGCCCTTGATCTCAAAAGAGTAGCAGTGGCGACCTGTTTTCTACGAAAGAGTGTACAGGGGGACTTGCGTCGGCAAAACGAGGTCCGACTTTAGCCTTAATCACCCAAAATTCGGTGACTTCAGAAAGCGATAAATTGCCTGTCGAATTTGAGAAAGTGCCGGAAAATCTAGGCATGGACCAACCAGGAAAGGCGGGAAAAATCACCGCTCCTAGGAGTCCTCAGGAAGGCATTTCAGTAACTATTCCCTCCATCATAGAGGATAAAGAACCATGCCCTGCAGAAGACATCAATGTAGGTGTTGAGAACATATGCGACGAAAAAAGAAAAGCTCGAAAAAATGTCTCGTTGTGCAAGCGAACATGAGCAAAACATAAACGGTGAGGGTAACCGTCTTCACTTGGAGCACCATCCTACTGAAAAGCTCCATGAGCTCGGAGAACTAAACAGCCCGGTCCATAAGCCCAAACGAAACAGCTTTACATGGTGGGGTCGCGTCACTAAGCCCTATCTTGTGAAAGCTAAACAAGAAAGAACAAAAACAAAGCAGCAAAGTCGAACTCAGAGTAATCAGCTCGCTAGTCTGTGCATAAATCGCAGTCCAGCAAAAGATAATAGTTTATTTTTTGCTTCCATATATATGAGAAGAAGTATGCGTTATTCACCTTTCACTGTAAGTGATCGACTCCCTGCAGACAAGTGCAGTAGGTAGATACTACGGTTTTCATTTATTTGTAGTTATTTCAATAGTTATACTCAGTCACAGTCTTATTTCAAGGGCAGTTCTTGAATATTTTCTTGCATCTCAAACGATAAATGCTGTACAGAGGCAAACGTTGGCGTATTGGTTAATGTCATTCTATCATTTCACCGCTCATCTCTCCACATGCTGAGTGAATCACTGAACTACTTCTGCAACGCTGAGGCCGCTTACTCGTGGAGCGATTCAGAAAACTCGGTATGACCTACTCTAGTTTATCACGACTTTACCAGAGCATATGACAGAAATAACCAATACATTTTTTACCTCACCAACCCGATGCGAAAGAGATGACTGCCTCAACAACATCCACCAACCGCCACCAGCGCCCACAAGCCACTAGTGCACCATCCAGGACGAACAACACCTCAGAACACTTTTACTAAATTCATTAGGATTTCATTACGATGCCACCAATACCTCTCTCTTTGTCATCTCATTGCCATGTAGCTTCACATTATCCTATGTTGACCATTCGTCCCCTTTTTTGCGCCGCGTTCTGGATTGCCACCAGAACCTACCGGTGCACCCTTTTATGACTTACTGATTGTTATGTATAAGCCATAGGCAAACTTCAGATATGTGATTATGACTCGAGGTAAATGTTTAGATACTCGATGCGTGACCTCTCCTATATTGAGAGGCACGCCTAGATTAAGTGAGCATTCTACTACCTGATGGTCCGAGACCACCCCGTCTCGGACCCACCACTATCACCGAGGCCACCACACCTCAATAAATATGTTACTACAACGACTACCGTCACAGATGGAAGCATTCTGGATATCCCCAGAAAACCGAGCATTCTGGATATCCCCAGAAAACCGAGTATGTCTTTCCATCACAAATGACCTACTACCGTTTATACCCCACTGCGGACTGTAGAATGACAGAACGTGACGTGCGGTCTCCCCGGGTGTTCGGGAGTCACAAGATTATAAGTTCAGGTTGCTAGGGGGTGTACAGTACCCCCGAAATTTGCGCGTCAAGTGAGAAAGATTCATGCTGAGTGCACCACCACTACATTACACGCCAAACTCATACTCATATTGCGAAATACTTGCTTGATGTTGTTTGTAGGGTTTTAATTGTGCTCATATTTGAATGTTCGTTTCGTTTTGGTTATTTTCACATTCCCAGCTTCCCTCCTACAGCAACCTTGCCATGGTGAGTTGTAACATTTGATAAAAATGTTGTGCCCAAGGTTGTCAGGTGGAACATTTACTAAATGAATGTTCCACCTATGTTTACCTCATCATAGCAAACTGTAAAGAATACAACTAGGAGGAAGTGAAATTCTCGATGTAAGCAGGTCGGTAAGGAACATTTACTCGATAAATGTTCCACCTACCAACCTCGTGAGGCACAACATTACGACACCCCTAAAGAAGTTTGATCGGATGCTTACCTCATCATGGCAAATTGTCAATCAAGTAGGGTTTTCATCGTGTTCATATTTGAATGTTCGGCTCGTTTTGCCTGTTTTCACATTTCCCAGGTTCTCTCTTACTGCAACCTCGCCTCGGTGGCTTTGATCGTCTGACAGTAAGCTCTCAATCCAAGTCTGGCTGTAGCGAAGAACATGGAAGCGCTGCGGCTGTGATTGCCACCCTCTCTAGACTTCCATATGCCATAGTTGTGCACTGGGCGACTCGTCCGCATCGACCAACTTCTTGATTAACGTAATTGCTCGTTCCTTTTACTCCCCGACGTCGGGCGCATTCCGAACACTACTCCGATAAGACTTTCGCGACGGTCCACACCACGAAGCAGGAATTTATGAAAAAAAGGCGCCTGTTCTGCAAATTTGATGTTAAAAGAAGTAAGAGATGTATGAATAATTATAGCCTTGTAAAAATCAAAGCTAATAAATATGTGATGCTTTTCATGGTTTCTCATGTTCTGAAAGAAATGCAGGCACTGCTCAACTATTACTATTCCGAAAAGTCGAACAATTTCTTACTGGAACTTGGCCCATAAGGTTCGATGACTTTTGATGATGATAGAAGCGGCAGCCCCAGCAAAAGACAATAGTAGTGTTCTCCATTCGTACCAACGGCAAGAATGGTGGTCATATCCGTACCAGGATGTCTAAATCCCGTACACAAGTTTTCAGCTGACTCGGTGATTTATGGTTCCTTTGCACGGGCGCCAGGCAGCTCTAGGTTGAGCGGATGTGATGTTCGTGTTCAGGAGGTTGAACATATCGTACGCAGCACGAAACCTACCATTCCTTAGCTTTGAATGAGTTTACAAGAGTTTAGAAAGCGTAATACCACATTCACAAGTGTTTACAAAACGTCTTCTCCATCCCTTCCCCCAAAGCGGAGTACCGCCCTGAACACTGAAGATTGTCTTCATTCAACTTTGGCTTGAGATCCTTTATCATTTATAGTACAGGTAACACTTTGAGAATATATGCAGCAATGTAAGCGGCATAGCAAGACTGCGTTCATACTTTGATGTAACGTCAAGAGCGTACGGGACCGTTTAGAGCGGCAAGGAAAGTATAGATATCGAACTACATGCTAGCTACGCCAGCGTTTTCAGCGACTGCCTGCGAACAGTTCCAAACTACACTCGAAACGCTCAAAAGGCTGCTGTATGCTCGACACACTAAATCAATGCCTACACTTTCATAGTCGCTCAAAACGCTGCTACGCTTACGCCCAAAACGCTGACGCAAAGTATGTACAAGTAAAGTTGAGTTAAAGTACAAGTTTTCGGTGGATGCGGTGATCGTGGGTATTCAGGCA